GCTGCTGGTGCTGCTGGAGGTACTGGAGGTGTTGCTGGTGCTGGTGCTGCTGGAGCTGCTGGAGGTGCTGGTGCTGCTGGTGGTGCTGCAGGTACTGGAGCTGCTGGGACTGGAGCTGCTGAGGGGGTTGGAGCTGGAGGTACTGAGCGGCTGCGGCCGTACTACGTTCCGCTCCTTCAGCAGGTTCTTGGTCTCCCGCCCTCTACTGGTCCTACTCCTCCCCTACTGAGTCCACCGCCTGTCCAGTCGCAGTCACAGTTACAGCCTGCCTCTCCGCTGCCTGGTCCTTCTCCTTACACTGCGCCGACGGGTAGTTTTACGGAGCGTCGTGAGCCTGAGTCTCGTCCTCCGTCGCCTGAGTCTAGTCCAGAGGCGCCTGAGTCGCGTCCAGAGTCACCTGTCCGCAGTGTCCGCGCTGGTCGTCGTGCTCCGCGTCAGCGTCCTCCTCCTGTCCTTGGCACTCACTATATGACACTGCGTCCGACCACTGCTCCACAGCGTGTCCCTCTGCCGTCTCCGCCAGCGTCCTCTCTTCCTGCTCTCGCTGACCCGGAGTCTGACTCTCTTCGTGCTGCCAGTCCTACTGTCACGCGTCTCCTTGCCACTGTTGTCACTGACCCGTCCTTTGAGTCCTCTGCTACGTCTGCTCTAGTCGCTGAGCTTGTTGACTTTGCTGCCGCCTGTCGTCTAGACTACGCCGCTAGCCTTGTTGCTGAGTCTGAGTCTGTCTGTCCTCCGTTCGTTGGGGGTGAGTGTGCTCTTGGCACGGACGTCCTTGAGGACAGACAGGAGGAGTTTGAGTGCTTTGCCGCTGCTTTACCTCATCTCGTGTCCATGCTGATTGCCCCTGAGGGAGACCCGGATGCACCAGACATCCCGACCCCACGCTCCTACGCAGAGGCGATGGAGGGTCTCTACTCCTCTCAGTGGCAGACAGCCATGGACGCAGAGATGGCTTCCTGGAAGTCCACAGGCACCTACGTCGACGAGGTTCCCCCACCTGGGGCGAACATCGTCAGTGGCATGTGGATTTTCAGGGTGAAGCGGCCGCCGGGTTCTCCGCCTGCCTTCAAGGTGCGTTACGTTGCTCGAGGCTTCAGTCAGCAACAGGGGGTCGACTTCTTCCAGACCTTCTCCCCCACCCCGAAGATGACTATTCTTTGGGTGTAGCTGCACGTTGCAGCACAGCGTGACTACGAGCTGCACTCCCTTGACTTCTCCACAGCTTTCTTGCAGGGCAGCCTTTACGAGGAGATCTGGTTGCGCCGCCCACCTGGCTTCACTAGGTCGTTTCCTGCGGGTACCCAGTGGAGTCTCCGCGAGTGGCACGACACACTGAGGACGACACTTGCGGCTCTTGGGTTTGCTCCTTCCTCTGCAAACCCGTTGCTCTTTCTACGCACCGACACTTCTCGGCCGCCGTTCTACGTTCTCGTGTACGTCGACGACTTGGTTTCTGCTACTGCTGACACTGAGGCGCTGGCCCTAGTGAAGGCGGAGCTGCAGGAGAGACACACCTGCACTGATCTGGGTGAGCTGCGTAGCTATCTTGGCTTGCAGATCACCCGGGACAGAGCACGGTGCACCATCACCCTGACTCAGTCACACATGGTGCACCAGGTTCTTCAGCGCTTCGGGTTCAAGTACTCCTCGCCACAGCCCACTCCTCTGTCTACTGGCCACTTGCTCTCAGCTCCACCTTCGGACGAGTCCGTAGAGCAGAGTGGTCCGTATCCAGAGCTTGTGGGTTGCCTCATGTATCTGATGACGTGCACACGACCTGACCTCGCGTACCCTCTCAGCCTTCTGGCTCGCTACGTGGCTCCCGGTAGACACCGAAAGGTGCACTGGGATGCTGCAAAGAGGGTACTGCGTTACTTGTGCAGTACATCGGGCATGGGGCTTGTGCTTGGAGGACGGGATTCAGTGGTACTCACAGGACACTCCGACGCTTCTTGGGCCGACGACCAGGCGACTCAGCGTTTGTCACAGGGGTACACCTTCAGTCTTGGCTCTGGTTATGTCTCATGGAGGTCCACTCGTTCTTCTTCTGTGCTTGGTTCCAGCTGTGAGGCTGAGATCTACGCTGGGGCTATGGCTGCACAGGAGCTACGCTGGCTGACCTACCTGCTGACCGACTTGGGGGAGCGGCCTCGTTCTCCTTCGGTTCTGTACGTTGACAACTGCGGAGAGTCACTCTGCAACGGTAGTGAGCTAGACTACGGGGGTTGGCACGAACTACTAGGAGTTATCGTAGCTTTGCTTAGTTCTTTAGTGCTTGCGCATACACGGGAGAAATCGGCAAGAGTTTCACTAGGCAAAGTTGGAATTACAGAATGATAGAACAAGCAATGACAGAAATGACTACATCAGGCACCTAGCAACTCTGCAGCTAGCCTGGTCGACCGACAGCACGGCATGGTCGACCGCCTGCCAGCGTTGCGTAGAGGAGCCGCGCAAGCACTGCAGAAAGGCGACCTGCCAACACAGCAGGTCGACGGCGTTCCAACGCTGCAGCAGAGCGGCTGTCGAGCGTTGCCCCGTAGAAGACAGCAGTGTGCACGCTCGCAGGTGCACGCAGACGGTTGGCCCGACTTGCACTGTTGTGCATCCGTCGGCTGTTGTCTGCGCCTGACGAGCCACATCGACTTCGGGATACCAGCCCGAAGTCGCCTTCGTCACCGCGACCTCGACGACGTTTGCGTACCTCCGCAGAACTCGCCGAGCAGGTTACCCGGTCGACCTGGTCGACCACCAAGTGCTCTGGTCGACCACTAGGTGCCTCTGGTCGACCACCAGGTGCCTCTGGTCGACCACCATGTGCCCCTGGTCGACCACAGCTCCCGTCGAGCTACCCCCTGGTCGACGGGTCCCTCCGTCGACCAGCATTGTCAACTGTTGTCGCCGAGCTCCCCTCGTCGACCGCTGCTCACATGTCAGGTCGACGGACTGCTCCGTCGACCTCCCGGTCGAACTGCTCCTCCTAGTCGACGGCCCACCCGTCGCCCAGCCGAGTCAGCTGCAGCTGTCGAGCTCCCTGGTCGATGGCTCCAGCCCCGTGACAGTCCTGTGCAGGTCGACAGCCACTTCGTCGACCTGCCCCGCAGAAGAAGGCCGTCGAGCACTCCCGGTCGACGGCAACACCACAGTGATCCCCTGCAGCTCGACGAAGCCCGTCGAGCAGCTCCTTCACTGCGAACGGTCGGCTGCTTCTCCCGTACATCCGACCAAGTCGTCGGCGTTGCCCAAGCGAGGGCGGGGCCAACATTCCATTCCCGTTAACAACAACAAGGCCATGCTTGCCTTGTGTCACGAGCAGAGACTGGAGCACAGAACGAAGCACATTGCTCTTCGCTACTTCCTTGCTCGAGAGCTGCAGCAGCGTGGTCAGCTTCGCCTTTCCTACGTGGCCTCTCGGGCCAACACTGCTGATGTCTTCACCAAGGCCCTTGGGTCTGGTGATCATCAGCGCTTTTGCACTGCTCTTGGGCTTCTGCCCGTTCTGCCTCACCTGCTTGTCTCTTGACCTTGCACTTGTTGTACACTGATATCTATATTTATATCTGCATGTTTCCTCTTGCTAGGTTGTGATCAGTGTACTGCCTTGCTATTATACCTCTGCATGTGAACTGACCTTGTGACCGCTTGCTTGTGCTCAGAATGAGTAGTGATCTTGAGATCCACGCTGGGCTTTGCTTTGCTTTGTTCTGTTGCCTGACTGGTCTTGTGACCGTTTGTTGTCTTGGCTATCCCTCACTTTGCCTAGGGGGGTGTGTTAAAACATATTTGTATGTTCTTAGTTCTGCTAAGCTACAGTGAGGTGCTCAGTATAGAGTACAACCCCAGTTAGGGTTTCATACTTGTATCTCCCTGTTTCTAGTCATTCATCATTCATGTCTTCCTATTTTAACATCATATTCGGTGCTATGATTGAAATAGGAAAGAAGTGAAGAACCATAATAGAAAATAGAAATAAGATAATCCATGACAGAACGGACGGCGTACTTTAAGAGGAGGCAAGGTCGCCGGCTGGTTGGGGTAAGATTTGAAAGTTTGCAAAGGTTGAGGGTGTAGATTGTGGTTTTTGAAGTCCACCTGTACCAGGGAAGGCGTGTCCAGGAGTTCACGCAAACTCTCTCGCAACCATCCCAGGGGTGGTTGAGGAGGTGGACGGGCAGCGCCTCAACCGTACTCACCAGTCAAACATTGAAACATGGGCTGTACAGAAAACTCTGTTACACACCCTAAAGAGCTTGCCTGCCGAGCCAATCAGGCTCGCAAGCACCGAGTCAGCTTGGTTGGCGGGAGGGGTGTTGTTGGGCTTGTTGGTTCACCGCCTTCCCTGCCAGCTCAGCCTGCTCGCGGCCCAGTTGCGCGTGGGTGGGTGCGGTGTTTGTTCTGACAACTCCACACTTGCCCAACGCGCCCCCCTGTTTCTCTCTCTCTCCCTGGCAACACCACATCCACGAACACTCACGTGCAAACATACGAACTTGCAACAGCAGGCTGTGCAAGCCCAAAGGCGACACCCGCTGTGCACAGAGGCGGCATCAATCACACGCTCATGGCGATGAGTTGCCCGAGGCGCGAGGCGCCTCGTGACTTACACCCCACGTGCACGGAGCTAGAAGCCGCTTTGAGTGCGGCGGCAGGCGCGGCTGTTGGCAGAGGGACCTGGATGCACCAGGCCATGGCGCCCGTGCCGCGGAGGCCGTCGCGACGGATCTAAGGGTTGGTGCAAGGAGCTGCTGGGGTGAGTCGAGCGGAGAGAGCGCGCGGTAGAAGAGCCAGAGCCTTTTAGGGCTGCGCCTTGCTTCCTCTCGTCGGCTCACTGCACGAGCCTCAGGTAGTGCAGCCGCAGCGGCGGAGGTCGAGCCGAGGGGAGCGCGGATCGGAGCCGAGCAGCGCGTCCAGTTGCGCCCGCTTGGCGCACGGCGAGTGGGCCGGGTAACGGGCGGCGGCGGGCGGTAGACGGGGCAGCGGCAGGCAGGCGCGGCGGTATGATCCCCGACGTGAAGCTGCGGAGCTGGCTGTCGCGCAAGGACCGCAAGGACGGCGCGGAGGACTCCCCGCGGGGCAGCGCCAGAGAGCCGTCGGGGAAAGGCAGGGAGAAGCAAGGGGGGGGGACGGGACTCGACAGGCTGGGCGCAGGGGGTGCGGATGGCGCGCGCGGTAAGTCTGGCGCGGCGGCAGGCGGACAAGCGGTGCTTTCAGCGGAGGGTGACGTGCCGCGCTCCGCCTCGTCCGACGCGTCCTATGCGCGCAACCCGCGCGCCGACATTGCGCGCGATATGCCTCCCGGGGGAGCGATGAGCCCCACGGACGAGGAGCTGGATCGCGCCATGGCGGAGATGGGCTGCGCGGGCGGGGGCCTAGGGACGGCGGGGGGGGCGAGTTCCGCGCAAGCGGGATCGCCGAGCGGGGCGGTGACTCCGCGGTCGCGGCGGGAGATATGGAAGTGGCGGAGGAGTCGCACGACGGCGCTGCCAGTGGGCGGCACGGTGGGCCGGGGAAACGCGGCGGCGCTGCGCGGGTGGCTGGACCGCGAGAGCTCCTTCGCGAGCTCCACGGGCGGAGAGTCCGCCAGCGGGGTCTCCGCCGTGGGGTCTGAGGGCACTGCGGGGGGCGGAGGGGCAGGAGGGGGGAAGCGGGAGGCGGAAGACGGCGGAGGGGAGCAGAACGGGGGAGGGGATGCGGGTGGGGGGGGCGGGGCGGCAGGGAGCGGTTGGAAGCGGTGGCGGCTGTCGCGGCAGCTGGGGTTCGGCGCGGAGGACGTGCGGGTGATGCGCGAGTTCCTGGCGCACCGCGACGCGTGGGTGGCGCTGGAGGCGAGCCCCTCCACGCGCTTCTACGTCTTCGACTACATGCAGACCGTCCGCTCCGGCGCTTACCCGCGCGTGCTCGCGGTGAGGCTCACGCGCCCTTTCGTGGTCGTCCATTCGTCAACGCTTCGCCGTCACACGCCCTGTTGTCGTTTTGCTCAGAACACCCCTGCCCCCTACTTCCCACCCCTCCCGTCCCTTCCCCCACCCCCTGCCCCCTTTCCCCGCCCCTCTTCCAACCCTACACTTTCTGTCGCTGCGTCTTGTTCTTGCTCCCCCTTTGCCCTGGGCGAGCTGCTTTGTCTGGCTGCTCTCACCCCATTCTTCAAAGCCCGCGCACCCCACATCCCCCCCTCGCTCATCCTTCCCCCCCGCTCCGCCGGCGCTATCCCGTTGGGCGGGCGCAGGCGTTCCGCGCAGTGGTGCGCGCGCACGGGCTGTCGGAGGCGGATCTGAAGAGCCAGAAGCGCGAGACGCTGCAGCTGCTGGCGCTGCTGTTCTCGCAGCACGACGGGCTGTGGCGCCTGCGCCGCCAGCAGCTGCTCGAACTCATCGTCTCCGCGCCCCCCTGGCTCGCCGCGCCCCACGGAGAGCAGCACGCGGACGAGTGGGCGGAGGGGGACGAGGGAGGGGGGGAGGGAGTGGCGGAGCGTGGCGCGGGAGGGGACGCGGTGGGGCGAGAAGAGGGGCGGGGCGCGGAGGAGGAGGGGCAAGGGAACGGCATGGTGGAGGAGGGCGGGGGCGGGAAGGAGGGTGGGCAGCGTGATGGTAGGCGCGGGGATGGGTCCCCAAGTGCAGTGAGCGTGGCAGCAGGCTCAGGTGCTGCACAAGGGGCGGATGAGCAGGGGCCTGGGGCGGAGAAGCAGGAGGGCTGTACCAGGGACGCGGGGGATGCGGGCAGGGAGGGGCAAGGGGAAGAGGGGGTGGATGGGAGGCAAGCGGTGGGGGTGCGCGAGGGGGAGCAGACGAAGGGGTCATTGGAAGCGGGGCATGGTGTGGTGGTGGCGCGTGTGGCGCGCAGTGCGGGCGCAGGCATGCAGGGGAGTGACGCCACGGACGGGGCAGTGGCAGGAGGAGAGGCGAGGGTTGCGGGTGGGGGGGAGGGCGCAGAGGCGAATGCAGGGCGGAGGGAGAACTTACGTGGTGCAGGGGGGGGCATGGGGTCAGGGACGGGCGGGCGGGGCAGAGGAGCCGCGCCCATGCCATGGCCCGCGCCCCCGGCCCTGAGAGCCAGAGTAGAGGCGGCCGGGGACGACGGCGCAGCACCACAGGCCACAGCTGCTGCTGCTGCAAGGGACGGCGGCAGCGGAACAGTGGCGAGGAGCAGCAGCAGTGGCAGCGGTGGCGGCGGTGGGAGCGGCAGCGGAGTGGCGAGTGGGTGGGCGGCGTCGGAGATGTATCGGCGCATGAGCAGCAGCTTCCTGCAGCGCGACAAGGAGCTGCTCTCCGCCTTCCTGCAGCGCGCCGCGCACTGGGACTCGCTGGCGCCGCGCACGCCCATGCACGCGCGCTTCCTGGCCACGGTGGAGGGGCTGCGCGCGGGGCAGCACGGCGAGCTGGCGGGCATGCGCGGCATCGTGATGGCGCAGCGCGACGCTGTGGACGCCTCTGACGTGCTCCGCCTCAACACCGGCGCCCTGCAGGTGCTGCTGAAGAGGGGGGGGGGGAGAGGGAGTGGGGAAGGGGGAAGGGGAGAGGGGAGTGGTGCAGAAAAGGGCTGGTGAGAGGGCGTGTGGGGTGGTGGGCGTGGGAGGGCGTTCGTGTTAGGCGGCGAGGTGGTGCGCTGCTGTGGTGATGTGGTGGTGAGATCTGCTGGAGATGAGCAGTATGGGTGCGACAGTGACCCGTGAGTCTCATGTTGGCTGTGTCTCTGTGTTGCGTGACTCTTTCATCATCACCGCCACTGCCCTCTACACCCTGCTGCTTCTCATGCCGCCCACCTCTTTCCCTTCCCCCATGCCTCTCCCCACCCCTTTCCATCCCCTTCCCGTTTCCTCCCCCCCCCCCCACACATCCGGGGGCAAGCCCAGCAGGTGCTAGCGGGGGTGCTGTCAGACACGGCGGTGCACGGCAGCACTGCACGCGACGACCTCATTGCCATCTGCCTCTCCCACGGCCCCTGGCTGCCGCCCACTCCTGCCACGCCCGCCACGCCCGCCACTCCCGGCAGCACCCGCTCACGTCGCTCGCGCAGCAGGGGGTTCTCCCGTGGGGTGGGCGAGGCGTGGGACGAGGGCGTGGTGCGACGCCTGGACGCGGCGGATGGGGCTGTTGGCAGTGGCAGTGCACGGATGGAGGGGGAGAGCGGGCGGGACAGGGGCGGGAGAAAGGGCAGAGGCGACAGAGAAGGGGAGGCGGGAGAAGGGGAGAACGGGGTGGGCGGTGGGGAGGAGGAAGGAGGTGGGGTGGGGCGTGGCGAGGAGGGGGGGAGCGGCAGGGGCAGCAGCAAGGAGGCGTTCGCGTATGGGGGCACATGGGGTGGCAGCCGCAGCAAGGGTGCAGGCAAGAAGGGGACGTTGAGTGGCAAGCACAGGGCGGAGCTGGAGAAGCTAAGGCAGGAGGTGCGCATGATCGAGGAGAAGGCCAAGCTCAAGAAGCTCATGCTCCAACCCACGCCCCCCCAACATCCCCATCCTGCTGCCGCTGCTCCTCATGCTGCTGCTGCTGCCGCTGCCACTCTTGCCGCTGATGCGGGTGGCAGTGGGGGTGGTGCAAGGGAGCGGGATAACAGTGGCAGGAGTTTGCGCAGGAGTGCGAGTAGAGGATCCAGGTCGTTCTCTCACAGGGACCACCACATTGCTGCAGCTGCTGCCACTGCAGCTGCTGCTCCACCTCCCACTGCGCCGCCTGAACCATCGACAGCCTCTCCTGATGCCCAGTCCACCGCAGCAGAGCATGCACATGAGCAGCATGCCGCGCACATCACCTCCCCCCCTGAACCCACCGCCACCGCTACCCCGTCACCCCTGCTGGGCTCATCCCCCTCGGACGCCCCCAGCTTCCGATCCATGGTGTCCCCTGCGGCCTCTGCTGCACATGGTGATGGCGGTGCTGACGCCATGGAATCCCACCTTGCTACGCCCGTGGCCTCGTCCTCGCATGCACCGCATCCCATGCCCTCCCACGCGCATGCACCTGTGCTGCATGGCGCGCACATGACTGGCCCTCGGGACCTGTACTCCGCTGCAGCCCCTGCTGCTGCCACTCATCTTTCTGGGGGCGCCCCTAGCGCTGGCGCTGCCGGCAGTGAGGAAATGCCTGATGCGCCTGCTCCACCCTCCACCACCGCCACTGCACCACCACCTTCCACTTATGCTGCTCTCACTCTGCCCGACCCTGCTGCCACCGGTACCACCAGCACTGGCAGCGGGCATGAGTGGGATGCGGTGGGCGTCTCCTCTCGGGGCGTGCGCGCGTGGCACAGGCAGCCCATGACGCCCAACCTGGGTGCGTCGTCGCGGCGCCTGCGGCCGCTGGCGTTCCTGCGGGGGGACGGCGAGCAGGGCGAGGAGGTGCAGGTGCGCAGCCCGGGGTCACAGGGCGCCATGGGGCTGGCCGCGCATGGGGACGACGGCGAGCTGCGCGGCAGGGGCCGTGGGGCGTCACGCATGCGCGGCAGGGAGCGCAGGGAGCGCGTGGTGCTGGGCGGCTGGGAGATGGATGGGGAGCGTGGCGTGGGGGAGGGCGCGGAGTGGGACGCGGGGGAGGGGGGTGAGAATGGCGGAGAGAGAAGTGCACGGGGTGAAGGGGGTGTGAGGAGCTTAGAGGGGCAGTATGGGATGGATGTATTGGTGAACGGTGGTGGTATTGAGGAGGAAGAGGAAGAGGGGGTGGAGGAGGTGGAGGGAGGAGGGGGAATGGAGGAAAGGGGGATTGAGCAGGAGGAGGAACACGAGCAGGAGGAATATGAAGAATTGGAGGAAGGGGGGGAGGAAGTGGAGGAAGAGGAGGAATTTGAGGAGGAAGGGGGATTGGGGGAGGAAGAGGGAGTGGGGGAGGAAGAGGGAGTGGGGGAGGAAGAGGGAATGGGGGAGGAAGAGGGAATGGGGGAGGAAGAGGGAATGGGGGAGGAAGAAGGGGCAGAAGGGGGACTGGAAGAAGAGGGGGCAGATGAAAGAGTGGAGGAGGGAGGAGAGGAGGGGGATGAGGGGACACTAGCAGCAGAGATGGATGATGCTGCTGCGCGTTTCTTTGACTCGCGTGGAGACGCAGGGGTGTGGCAGGGCATAGGAGCGGCGGCAGCACCTGCAGCAGGGGAGCTGGCGAGGAGATGGAAGAAGGGAAAAGAGAGGGCGTCCCAGCAAGCGCGCAAGGGCGGGGGAGATGTGAAAGCGGGCGAGGAGCAGCAGAGGGAGGCGGAGGACGCGGAGGCATTGCTGTCAGCAGCGGCGGCATCAGGTGCGGGCAGGAGGAAGGGGCTGGGAGGAGGCCACATGGACCCCGATCCCAGCGCCACACTGCTGCTGCGCCGCTTCAAGGCCAGAGAGGGCCTACCCGCTGGTGGAGACGACGCTGGCAGTGCCACGCCCACACACGCTGCAGAATCCCCTGCCACCTCCCACGATGGCCTCGCAGAGGGCTCTCACTCTCACTCACATGCACCACAGCCGTCAGCATCATCAGCAGCAGCAGGAGCAGCGGGGCAGGCATCGTCGCGCGCGGTGCACCACGCGGCATCGCCGTCCTACTCGTCGCTCACGGTGGCCATCCCGCGTGCCCCCCTGGGCTCCTCTGACCTCGCCCAGCACTCCCTCTCCCATGCCAGCCCCGCCTCCCACGCCAGCCCCTACGCGCGCAGCCCCTACCACGCCAGCCCCTCGTCCCAGGCCAGCCCCTCCCACTCCAGCGCCTCCTCCTCCCAGGCCAGCCCGCCTCAAGTCAAGACCCACCGCCACCACCACAACCACCACCACCACCCTCCGCACCCCCCACAGCAGCAGCATCAGCAGCAGCAGGGTTCCCTCCACGGCCCCTCTCGGCTCTCCCCCACAGGCAACTCCCCGAGCAGTGCAGCAAGGCAGGGGGGAGCGCGACAGGGGGGCGGTGGGCCAGCAGATGGAGCGGATGAGATGGACGAGGTGAGTCGCCTGGAGCACGAGGCGCTGCTGCGCTTCTCATCGGGTGCGCGGCAGCTGGAGGTGCAGGCGGACAGGGAGAGGCACGCCGTGGACGTCGCAGAAGCCCGCGTCGCCTCCGCTCTCGAGCGCCTCGAGGCCGCCCGGCGCGCCGTGGCTGAGGAGAAGGCTCGGCGCGCGGCAGCAGTGGCTCGGTGGAAGGGGGCGATGGTGGCGGTGGAGGATGGCAGCGAGCTGATGGAGGAGGCGTGTGCCGTGGTCAGGCGCAAGGCGGATGAGTGCCGCGACGCCTGGCGGCGCCATGTGGAGTCCACCCAGCGCCTCACCTCGGGGGGCAGCACGCCGGGGGGCACAACGCGCAAGAAGATGAACCGCATGCGGCAGGAGGAGTTTGAGCGTGCGGCGCGCACACATGAGGAGTTCCTGCGGCTGTGGGAAGAGCTGGAGGCGCTGTGCAAGCCCAGCCTGCAGGCCGCCGTGCAGCGCCTGGCCAGTGGGTCGCTGCATGTGGATGGGGACACGGGCGAGTACAGCATGCAGGCGCCCACCAGCAAGGGCCGCAGTAGAGGCCGCGACAAGCTCAAATAACAGTGGCTCGGAGATGAGGGGGCAAGCACACTGGCAAGATCACTGGGGATGCAACCCCAGGGGCTGAGCCAATCCCACCTCACTGCTCTCTCCGTTCCGCTCCCCCACAATCTCTCTCACATGCATGCTCTCTTTTGGCGCTCTCGGCCTCTCTCCACCTTTCTGTGATCGTATCCTTCCAATCCGGACGGTTCATCTCGGTTTTGTCAGGAGCTCATACGCACACCCTACTGTTAGGTGACACAAAGCCGAGGAGGGATGTGGCACTGCCCTGTAGATGTATGTAGGTCTCTTAGCACTAACATAGTAATGGCACTAATCGCAGTGAACATGGCATGTTTGGCTGCAATATTCCGTTTGGCTGGTTCCCGCGTGAAGACTCCAAATAAAGAGTCATCAGTGATATCGTTTTAATCCTTTCATCTGTGCAGTGGAGATCTTATCCAAAAACACATTTGGGAGTTTGTTCAAACAAAGGGTGATTATCGTAGCAAATTCTATGCTCAACCCTTGTCTTGCGGCTCAACCTCCTGTACATCTGCTTCCGCCTTACTGTTCGTCCGAGCGCACCTTTGCCTCTCTTCCACCCACCTCCGCTTACATGTTAGTGTTGCACCCTCTTCCATGCCTGTGTATGCGCAGAATGTGCCAAGGATTGCGAAGGTTTTTTGAATTTTGTGCGGATAAACCGCGCTCGTCACGACATCGACTTGTCTCGCATCATAAATGCGGATCAACACCGCTCTTCGTCAAGATGCACGTCAAGAGGATTGTCAAAACTTTATATGTTTGTTCTCTTTAGGCTATAGTGGGGGTACAACCCATTAGGGGTACAACCCATTAGGGTTAGTACTTGTACCAAACTCATTCATAATTCATTCATTCATGATCTGTAGTTTCTGACATGGTTTCAGAGCGGTTCACTCCGTAGAACTGAAGTTTTTTTTAGGGCCCACCGTTCGTTCGGCCCTGCCCATATTTTCTGCCCTGCCCCTAACGATCGCGACCCGGCCGCTCGCTAGAGCCGCCCTGCCCCACGCGATCGTGACTGCCCTATCCCGTGCGCGACCCGAATGCTGCCAGCGCGCTGCCCGAGTTGCCCGCCCGCTGCTCGCGCTGCCCACACGCTGCATGCGAGTCCCCCCCGCCGCTCGTGCGCCTCTTGCGCGCTGCCCGCGCACTGCTCGCGCTGCCCGTCTGCTGCCGGCGCGCTGCCCGCACACTGCCCGCGCTGCTCACGCTGCCCGCTGCTTCGCGCGCTGCCCGCGCACTGCCAGCACGCCTCGCGCTTCCCTACACGCTGCACCGCGCGCGCTGCCCTGTGTCAACGAGGTAACTGAATAATGAATTGAGGAAATCAAGGGCATACAAGGGTTGATATAGCAAACCAAAACCTTAGGGCAAGGACAAATGTAACACAATGTAGAACACCTAGACTAAACTAACAAACTATAACAATTATAGTTTGACACACCCCCATAGTCTAGGTGACGGTAGTCCTGTGGAAAGCAACACACAGTCTACGAGCAAGGGTTACACGACCAGTCAGCAAGAACAAGCAACGGTCACAAGACCAGTTCACAAGAACAAAACAAACTCGGGGTGGATCTCAAGATCATCACACAATCCGAGAACAATCAAGAGGCCACATGGCCAGTCCACATGCAAGGACATAGCAAATATACAAAATGCAAGAATACAAGACATGCATGACAATCATCAATACAAAAGCAAGGGGCCACAAGGCCTGTCCACAAGCAAAGATATAGGATATATAGTGAGACAAGAGTACAAGACAAAACATATCTACGCAAGCAAGTGAGGGCCGGTAGGCACAAGGCCTAGCTGGGTGCAGAAACGCTGGTGGTCAAGGCGGCAACGCCTTGGTGAAGATATATGCAGTGTTGGCCTCAGAGACCACACGTCGCACGAGTGCCTGGCCACGCTGCTGCAACTCTCGCAGAAGGAAGTAACGAAGCTGGATGTGCTTCGCCTTCCCAACCAGTCGGGGCTCCTCACACAACAGGACTGCAGACCTGTTGTCGGCGAACAAGACTGGGGGAGAGCGAGGTCGCTCACCAAGGTCGGTGAGGAGGAAAGACAGCCAGCGAAGCTCCTGGGCGGCCATGGCCACTGCGTACACCTCTGCCTCACAGCTGGAACTGGATGTTGGTGCAACCCTTCGGTTTGCACCCGGCTTGTTGTCCGTGTGCGTGCATGCGTGTGTGCATGGAATGGTATGAGGGCATGAGATAATATATATTTCATGCTTATAATAGTGTGTGAATGATGAGTCATGATGTCGAATGTGTGTGTGTCGAGTCAATAGCGAGTCATCGCTAGTCGCGTGTCACGCGATCGTTTGTGTCCCGTGCACGATTTCTATTTTGTAGTGTGGTTCGTGCGTGGTTTCTATTTTGTCGTGTGTGGAACGTTCGGCGTGTCGCAGGTGTGTGCAGCAGACCCATCAAGAACTCAAGGATGAGTTTATGATGAAGAACCAGAGCCTTGGTTTCAAGATTCAAGTGTTCGCGACGCCAGCGAAAATGGTACACTTCAAGATATTGAGAATCGTTACATTACTTTGTGTAGTGTAACATTTCTCTTGGTGTAGGCCCTTGTGGAGGGTAGTTTCGAGACCCTTCTTGGTTGGGGACAGTGTGGCACTGTTTCACATCACTGTACCTCGGCTCTTGGGGTTTGTAGGAGCTAGGAGTCATTCCCAACTCGTAACTCTTCCTAATTTGTGTTCTAAGACTATAGTGGCTGCCATAGTGCCGTTCGTTCAAACCAACGTTGCGTCGTCAATACTTGATGAAATCGTGCGATGGAAATTGCCTATTGTAGGCGACATCACGACGCTCCGGATCCAATTTATAGCAAGTTATTTGGAGCTGTGAGCAGAGCGCTATCAACGTTTGAAGCCGCTGTGCAGAAATCCGACTGTGCACTCTATCTTTCGTTTTAGGCACATTCAAGCCTATTGTGACTATAACAAGTGGTATCAGAGCGCCTTGGAGCAGCTTCGACGATGGCTGGACCTGAAGAAAGGGGTGGAAGAGGTGCTGGAGGCAATGGTGAAGCCCAAACTCAAGGCCAACCTTGAGATCCCGCCATGTCTCCCGTGCAACCTACTCTTGGACCTTCTAGGGATGAACCAAGAGTGTTCGGGCTTGACAAGTTCAATGGCGACAACTTTGCTGAATGGTCCTTCAGAATGGAGAACGTATTCGACCACTATGACCTGCTGGAGGTGATGGAAGGAACGGAGAAGCGCCCCGAGAACGACCCGGAGAAGAGCCCGTGGGTGCGAAAGAGCGCACAAGGTTATCTCCTACTTGGGCAAGCGTTGGGGAGCAGCCAAATCCGTCACATCAAGCCATTCCAGCGTGAACCAGAGAAGGGACCAAAGGCATGGGCTGCTCTCAAGGGTGTACACGCTCCTGCAATAGCGGCGGTAGCGGTGGTGTTGGACGACACTACAAATTGAAGAAGATGAACCCGTGGAAGAAGGGGTGCAGAAATTCTTCGACTTGTTGACGTGGCTTGAGGGAGCTGATTTGAACTACAGTGAGCTTCAAAAGAAGACCAAGTTGCTGGCCCTGCTCCCCAAGTCATGGTCCTCGCTCATCATCAACTTGAATCGCGATCGGCCCCGCCTCTCGCTCGAAGACGTGAAGCGGTCTATCCTTCACGAGGATTTCCACCGCCGTGAGTTGGCGGGTTCGGATGGCGCCGGGGCAGCAAGCATCGGCCATTGATATGGCCGTGGAAGGGGCAGAGGACGAGGAGGAGGAAGGTTCGGTGGCAGCAACTTTAGTGGAGGCCGCGGGAGTGGCGGATACGGCAGCGACGTCAAGAGCTACGGACGCGGTCGCGGCCGATTCGACGGCGAATGCCATTATTGCCACAAGAGCGGACACATGTGGCGCGATTGCTTCAAGATCCCTGATGGATGGACCCCTGCTCACGGCCAAGAGGGTAGAAGAGCAGGTGGAGGGAGAGGAAGAGGCCGTGGAGGCCGCGGCGGTCGCGGAGGTGGTGCTGCAAATATGAAGAGCGAAGACAACGAGAGCGAGTCGAGGGACGATCGCTTTCCGGGCCAATTCTTCTTCGTTTCGACGCAAGCACCGGCTGCACCAGAGAAAGATGAAGGCTTTGAGGAGCCTGCTGCTGTGGGGAAGGTGACCCTACACTCCCTGGACTATTGGGTGATCGATAGCGGCGCTACCTATAGCATGACACCTCGCGCGGACTTGCTCACCGAACTTGAACCGTCACCGGTGAAGCATGTCACATTGGCTTTGGGGCAGCGAGCAGAGGTGAAAGGCATGGGCAAGGCCATGTTCAAGGGTGCTGATGAGAAGATGGTGGGCCTCAAGAACGTGCTTTGGGTGCCCAACCTTGCTGCCAACCTGATTTCCGTGCGGCGGTTGCAAAAGGCCGGCATGGACACGAGCTCGAAGGGAGCCAAGACCTACACCGCGAGGCTTGGCGAGCGGATTCTATGGGACCTTCACAAGGATAGGGATGTCTACAACGAGATGTGGCAGATCCCTGTGGTCCCCATGCCTAAGGAGAGGCAAGTGGCAGCAAGCATCAGCACCAAGGATGAAGCCGTTGGTAGCGGCTACGGCGCCAAGGCGAAAGAGTCCAACAAGTGCAATCTTGGAGGGACCAGCAAGTTGTGTGAACTTAAAGAGAGTGGTGCAGCAGCCAAGGAGCAGCACAAGGGTGAGGAGAACCCCAAGGCAGCAGCGGAGGAGGAGTACGGAGAGAGCATGTGGGGCACTATTGCGAGTGCGGCATTCTCCAATCCGACTTCGGCTACGGGGGAGTGTGATTGGTTGACTTTGCAGCAGCAGCAGCTAGTAAAGGGAGAGATGGTTGCTGGCATACGTGTGAAGGGGGAGCCCGATGAGGTACTTGGTTGCCCGACGTGCATGCAAGCCAAGTTCACCCGTTTCCCGTTCTCTAGTTCGGAGGCAACGGTTAAGGCA